GTGATCTTGCACAACCGTCATCTCACGACCCTGACAACACAGCACCAGATGTGAATGGAGTTCCACCGAATTCCAGAATTCTGTCGTCGGTGGCTGCAAAACCCGGCTAACTCGCACATGATCGTCACAATAATTGTGAAGCGGCATGCCAAAGTGGCAGTTCATCTAGCTTTCCAAGGCAAGATGTGGGGAGAGCAGGATCTTAAGAACAGCTACAACTTGTTTTTACTTGTTTGTGTTCATGCGCCTCAGCGGGCGGCCCGTTTACAACATCGTGGAGCTATTTCGGAACCTAAAGTTATTTCTTAACTAGAGTCTGTCGCCATTCAATAAACGTCGGGTAACGCCGTTTACTAATGCAGATAGGCGAGCGCGTGCTTTCTTACTAGCACGTCTGTGAGACTACTAACGCGAGGGAATTTCCATAGGCGTTCGCGGGATGCATGTCGCTTGTGGTCAGGAAAGCCATGACTTAGTGACAGGCGTGCTGCGCCTCAAACCGCTGAAGAGCTGGAGACTGGCGGCCGGCCGGATCATGGGAGCTGCGGTGGCGTCTCCGAAGATTGCGGATGGCTTAGAGGCGCGGAGTCAGCTGAACTTGACATTGCTGCCGAATGGAGGATTCGAGAAGGAAGATTTGACAGCCCTGGGGCACCTGAGATGGATCTGAGGCCAGGGAAGGACTCGCGTCGACGGGGATCGGAAGCCGATCCGACATCAGACGAGGATTTGAAGACAATCCGACATCAGACAAGGGTTTAAAGAGGATCTGACATCAGACAAGGATATAAAGAGGATCTGACATCAGACGGGGATGTGAAGAGGATCTGACATCAGACGAGGATGTGAAGAAGATCTGACATCAGACGAGGATGTGAAGAAGATCTGACATCAGACGAGGTTCTGAAGAAGATCTGACATCAGACGAGGGTTTGAAGAGGATCCCACATCAGACGAGGGTCTGAAAAGGATCCCACACCACAGGAGCAGGTGAGGTCGCAGTGTGGATTGGAAGGGCGGGCGGAGGACGGTGAAAGACGCCACGATTGCAGGTGGGGACTAGAAGAGCGCTGGTAGAGGACCAATGGTATGCTCAGTTATAAGAGCAATGGTGAGATTATTGTTTTGAGGACTAGTTGCAGCACTGTAAACACTGATAGACAAATGGTAAAAAATTTGGACAATTCGAGAAGGCAGCGAAAAGCTCCACATCGAGCCCTTTGCATCCCCCCGATGTGTACTGTCCCATCCGCGTCCTCCCATGTCCCCCGTTCCCCACGCGCAGCCTCGTGAGCACTTCGCTACCCCCATCCCGCCTCCCATCGCCCCTGACCCTGACCCGGCTCAGCCTCGCCGTACCTGTGCGGAGTCAGCTGGTAATTTCCCTTTAGCTCGCTCCTGTGCGCCACGGTGTTGGTCCGTTACCAGGGGTGTTTCATTATCTTTTTTTATCGGGACGGCCGATGCCTTGACCCTTCCCACGGCTCATCTTTGGTGCTGGAACCACCGGGCATCCACTTCCAAGCATGGGTGTTACAGGGATTTTTCTAAAGGGGTTAAACGCCTCTTTTCCACGCTAAAAGTTATTGTGCGTACGATGTAATTCGATGAGGTGAGCTTCACAACAAAAATTATGGCTCCCCCACTTCCAATCCTAAAGACGCATCCACAACATATCCTGGTACACTTCTGCTCGTGCAAATGGGCTTGGGTACATGTATGTGTTGTTTTCGCAGAACCATCTCTGCGGTAAGCGAGAACCTCGACAGTGAGCAAGCGGCTCTCGGGAACGTGTTCGCTGCAATGGAGGTTTTTCATCGAGATTGCGGCTGCAAAACCATGCGGAAACGGACGCAGGCGCGCGTGGTACGACCAATGAACAAACACAATACAAAAAACCAATTCTAAGTTATTTGCATTTCATTTCATGTTCGTTTAAATTTAGAAAAGACGGAGACGTGATTACGATGACTGGCAGGTAGCGAAAGAAGGAGAGTCGTTAAAAAGGAACAAATTACAGCTGAAGGTCCCTATGGGTTGGTGTCCTGCTGTTAACAGCCGCACCTTGTGAGAGCATAAGCTATGCAAGCTGCCATATGTTAATAAGGAGATATCAAAGAAGGTATCAGGGAGCATTTCTCTAGCCTTGGTCAGCCGTATCATGCGAGATAAGGATTCTGTGCCCGGAAATCAGGTTTTGGTTCGTCAACAATGTCCTCGGTTTTTTCAGTTTCTGGCATTATCTGAGAATGGGTAATGGTATGTCACATGTCACGTGACAAATGCTTTATACGCAATGGCTTTCAAATAGATCAGACATTTACTGCGTTCGATAAAAGAAATAAGACAAAGTGGACTGAAGGTTTGTAGACGAAGGCAGCAATGCTTGGAAAATCCCTAAAAAGTAGCTTGACTGATTTTGCGAATCAAAGCCATGCTTTCAGTGCAGAGCGCATCTAATTAAATGTTTCTTAAACCTAGAGCATTAAAGCACCAGGTGCTTACGTCATACATCTGGTCCAGAAGTTCATTACATAGTCCTGGGGATCTCTGGAACAGGCCACACCGTGCTATTTCTCACGGGCAGGCGCTTAAAATAAAGCACTCGTGTGCAGCACCCGGAGAGTGTGGGGCAGGGGGGAGGTAGCCAAGGGCAAGACGAGAAGAAGAGCTGTCGGGCTTGCGCCGGGCTGACGGATATTCTCGTCTTAAGAACCGCAACGGGCGTTACTTTGGACGAGTACCGCAATGGTTTTCCAGCGAGGCTGCCGCCATCCAGCAGCGTCCATATTGAAAAATGGGTTTGATTTGTTCAAATCTCAATTTTTTACGGCTGGATCAGCCTAGCCACATCAGTACTAGAGAATCGATATAATCTTTGTAAAAAATGTGGCCAAGCTGAGCGCCCTGCAATAACCGCATGGTGATTTGTTACTTTCACTAGCCTTGGTTGACTTCCTTACAAAACCTGATTTCCTGCTTGCTTTAAATATTATAGCGTCAAAACAAGCTCCAAAAGAAACTTTCGATTGCTAGCAAGACACCAAGGTCACGCATGCACGTCATGCTGTTCATACCTGCGCCTCCATATGGTACATATATGTACCATGGGAGCGATGTATGGCTACCAGTTTTGTATAAACCCTGCTCTGCGATGGGAACAGCGTCAGCTCCCATATAGCATGATTTAGACCAGCGACAAAGTGCGTTGAAACCATGCTTCAGAACAGCTTCGTTTGCCCGACTAGTAACTCTATAGCATATC